TGGTGTTATTTTTGACCAGGATATGTATTTTTACCCCCACATTAAAAATGTTACCAGGACCGCCTGGAGCACAAACTGACGACATTTACTCACTCTGCTATTATCTTTAATCTCTCTCTTCTACATGTTTGTTATAATTACTTCTATCAATAACATGTTTTCTTTGTCTCTTCCAGAGGAAATTACACCTGGACCAGTTCTTCTGTGTTTACCTGTGTCTCTTTCCTGTCCCCAACCCAGCCGGGTCGAGGCAGATGGCCNAATTACTGCTGACCTTTTTAAAACGTGAAATACAAACTAAATAAAGTCAAATGTTGGTAAATAGTGTGTTGTTCTCATGGAGACATATTTAACAAGGTTTAATGAAGACCAGAGATTATTTTAAAGTTTGTGAGTTCTGACCCAGGCGGCTGATTATATTCTCCACTGCAGCTGTTGGTCATCTGGAACACTAAAAAATTTCAGTTTCTTTGATAAAAAATAATTTAAATAAATGTCTTCAAGATTTTGTGTGAAATTTAAAGCAGATATTCTTGCTTTGCTTCGGTGTAGAGTGCTTTAGATACTATCATCCCTTCTTCCTGTTTGACTGCCAATAAAAGCATAAACGTGTTTTCTTCTGAGTGTGTCTCAATTTGTTTTAATCTGGTTGCACACATCAAAAACCATTTATCAAATGAAGTTTTGCTGAAATAAAAAAAACTGTGCAACACATCAGAATAAAAAATATTGAACATCCTTTTTTAAAAATATTAAAACCTCTGCTTTGGTTTCACCAAGATGCTGCCAAGTGAATGGAAAATTATAAACTCATTCCAACCAATAAATATTTTTATGAAATAAAATATTTTATGTTAAATTATTTTTATCAGGATGTTAATGAATGGAATACTCTGAGTCTCCCTCACAGATTAAGACACATTGAAATGTATGGATCATCTGCTAAAACCATATATACCTTAGAAAGAACAAACCTATGGAGATAAAAGAGTCTCAAAATTAGACCCACAAACTTTAAAACATTTGTATTCGTAAAGTAAGACGTTAGAAAACGCTGCTCAAACAAACTCTTTAAGATCTCAGTTTGAAATTTGTATTTGCAAAATAGTTTTTGTTTGTGACTCTTGTTATTTGGTTATAAAGACTACTTTTAACTTTTGAGAATAATTTATCTCCATACATGTCAGTAGCTTGTGACAGCAGCCATGTTGCATGAAGAACAAGTCACTTTATAAAAGGCAGCTCATTTGTTGCTTGCAGTGAAACTAAATTCCAAGGACTGAAATGGTTAAAACATTGTCAGTGAAATCCTTTTGTTGTGCTTACATTCTTTTTAAAAATATCTTGTCTGTTTGTAAAACATTAAAATCTTTCAGGTAATAAACCATTTGTGTTCTTCCACTTTTAATAACTATGGTAAAGAAGACATCCATGTAAAAATACTTTGTTTTCTTCCTGCTGAAAACATTTCTCTTCTGACATTTTCTCTTAGAACAAATTTCTTTCCAAATCCGTAGCTCAGATATTTCACAGAGGACTGATCCCTTTGAATCCACTTTTCTTATAAAAACTGTGATTTTCCCGCAAACCAGTTTAAAGGTCCCTCCTGGCAAGACCAGCACGGTTCTGTTTTCTGCAGAAAAACACCCCAGCTTCTGCAGGTTTACTGCATCAGATTTCTGCTCATGTAAGTCCAAAGGCATTTCATGTTGTTTCTTCTTGTTACCAGTGGAGACCGAGCTGATGCAAGAGCTGCTTTAAACCCACCCAACATCTTATTAATGACTTCCTGGATGGGGGCTTTGAGACTTTATGGCCGTAGCATATCATCAACCATCCAAGTGGGCCACTAGTGACACGACAACAGGCTTGTCTGAAGACGGGCCTTTGGTGATATCAATTGTGGGTTCACAGGACGGGTCCAGCTGGGGCACGGTGGCGGCGTGCTGACCCAGTGAGGCTACCATAAATAGAAAATCGTTGGTTTGGCGATGGCCGGTGTGCTTCTTGGTGCAAAGCTTGGAGGAGGTTTTTAAGCTGGAGCCTCGTCGAGGGGCTTCACAGCGCACCAGGGACTGGAAACATCTGTAAAACTGGAGCAGGAGACAAAGGATTACAAAAACACCTCACAAGACAGGAGAAGGTTAAAGGAACAGTCTGTATGTGCTGTGGAAATCGTATTCAAATTAATACATACATGTTAAATTGTATGGATTGTCTGTAATTTACATGGATTATACCAACAGAGCAATCTCAAGTTTTAAGGATTTTTTGAAAAACTCAGTTTCAGTTATTTTAAAGCCTTTAGGCTGCAAGAAATATATTCTCCTGCATGACATTCTACCCCCCCCCCCCCACATGTGTCGTTAATATGGATTTTTTTTTTTGCAAAAATTACGTATATTTGAGGCTCATTTTACAGGGAAACGCCCAAAGGGGTTGACATGTACATTAATACCTGCTGTAGATCACCTCAAGTTTAAGTAAAAAAATCCAGTTTTAATTCTGACAGCTGATCAGCTGCAGCCACAGACAGTTCTGTATTACTGAGTCACTTTAACAGAAATGATTTAATGTCACTGTTTTTGGCTTTGACTCCACGCTGCACCCTCGACCGGCTGCTATCTGCTGCAGATATCCACTGATATATACATTAATAACTTTTATAGACATGAAATGTTCCATAAGCAGCAGCTCTCGTTGATCTTGGCCCTGCTCTGACTAGCCATTAGCTCCTCAGTCCTGAAACTGAAGCCAGCTTAGATCAGCTCATAGCTTGAAACTTCAACGCACTTCTTAAGACTCACTTTTATTCAATGACATTTAATTAAAGCAAGGCCTGACATTGTAATTTACCTATTTTGACACTTGCTGGTTGTAATTTATTACTGTCCAGCACTGTAAAGCCACAATATGTAATAATGTAATAAAAACGGGCTTCAAAATGTAATAAAACCACACTAAAACCACACTACTGTATGTAATAACTGATGCAAAATGTAATACAGTCTTCAACACATTTTGTAATACTCGCAGCTGCATAATGTAATAACATTATTACATTATGCGGTGATTGTTACTAAATGTGGTTGTTGCTCTTTCTAGTAATGATAATGTAATAATAATAATAATAATAAACAATCACAGATTAATGTTTTTGTTCATCCTAATCAATACACTTGTAATAAACGATCATATTGCAGATACGAAACATTTAAATCTTTGTTATATTTTTACAATTTATACATTCAGTTTTTCTTTGTTTCTAAGGCTACGTTCACACTGCAGGTCTTAATGCTCAGTTCCGATTTTTTGAAAAAATCCGATCTTTTTGTGTGAACGTTCACATTACATTTTAAATGTGACCTGCATCAGACTCCTGTGTGAATGCTACACAGCAC